AGTGGTGATGGTAGTAGCGCCTCTGTGATAACATATTTAAGAAGGGGAAAAAGTTGCTGTGCAACAGGTAACTGCAGCTAGGGAGTGGAGTGAGAATATGTGACAGAAACAACTCTGCAGACACCAAGGTCAGTGAAGAAAGACAGGAAGGAGGAGCTCCAGGTGCTGGAGCAGGGATTCCCCTGCAGCCTATGGAGAAGACCATGGTGAGGCAGGCTGTCCACCTGCAGCCCATGGAGGTTAACAGAGCAGATATCCAGCTTCAGCCTGTGGAGGACCCCATGCTGGAGGAGGTGGATGCCTGAAGGAGCTTGTGACCCTGTGCTGGAGCAGGCTTCTGGCAATACTTGTGGACCCATGGAGAGAGGAGCCCAGAGGTGGATGCCTGAAGGAGCTTGTGACCCTGTGCTGGAGCAGGCTTCTGGCAATACTTGTGGACCCATGGAGAGAGGAGCCCACGCTGGAACAGTTTGTGAAGAACTGTAGCCATGGGAAGGACTCACACTGGACAAGTTTATGGAGGATTGCCTCCCATGGAAGGGGCCCCACAGTGAAACAGGGGAAGAGTGTGAGGAGTCCTCCCCATGAAGAGGAATGAATGGCAGAAACAATGTGTGATAAACTGACCACAACCCCTATTCCCTGTCCTCCTGTGCCACTGAGGGGGAGGTGGTAGAGAATTCAGGACTAAAGTTGAGCCTGGGAAGAAGGGAGAGGTGGGGCAAAGGTGTTTTAAGATTTAGATTTTATTTTCTTATTATCCTACTGTGGTTTGATTGGTAAATAATTATTTTTCCTCATGTCGAGTCTGTTTTGCCCTTTTGCCTGTGACGATAACTAGTGAGTGATCTCTTCTCCTTGTCCTTATCTCAACCCATGACCCTTTTGTTTTATTTTCTCTCCCCTGTCCAGTTGAGGAGGCGGAGTGAGAAGAGTGGCTTTGGTGTGCGCCTGGCCAGGGTCAACCCACGACACAGGGATATCTCTTGTGATGGGTTCTGATACTGTAGAGACAGCAGGAGCAACCCAGTAAATGAGAAGAATGGTGCCCTGGGTATGCTGGGCAAGAGAGAGGGTTGTGAGGGTCGGCTGTGTTGGAGTGCTGAAGAACATGAGATGGGATGGTGTGACTCACTGCCATTCTGTCCACTGATGAATACGAACCATTTGCCTGTGTGCGTTGCGAAGGCTGAACTATCTCAGGGTGCTATTCCTGCCTTCCCATTCATGTTGACCAGAGGAGATACTCATATTGCCTTGTGGCAAATGCTACAGGTTAGATTGTGTGGGCTCTAGGGAATCTGTCCCCAAAGGTGCCAAGCTGAGCTAACAGGAGTCATGTAGATTTAACCTTAAAGAATTAGGCAATCACAGCACCAACTGATGGACTTAGAGAAGTAATGTCATGTATGAATTTGTTTGATGAGCAATCTTATCTCTGGGAAAAGATCGAGAAGAAAACATAATTTCCAGCTTCTTATAATTTTGTTAGAACTTGTAAAATTTAAAGGTAATGTCTTGCTAGAAAATAGTTGGAAATGTAGAGGGTACAAAGCATGGGTTTCTTTATTTTCTTTTTATTTACAACACATGCTGGGGGTGAGGCGGGACAGGTTTCCCCAGATATTTCCAAAGTTATATTATCTTTTCTTTGTCTTCTATGTATAATAGCGGGAAGACTTTAGTAAACTTGGGTAATTAGTGAGTAGAATTTGTGAGGAAACTTTTTAAAGGGGAAAAAATGTAAATATGGATGATAGTATCTTGCATAAGTAGTGTTATGGGTAGTAATGCAAGTTTTCATTATTACTGAGAAAGGATAGGTTGCACAGTAAGAAACCAGCTTGGCTAAACCATGCATAGTTTGTGGACCTCAGATATAGGGAAGCATGTAAGAATTAGAAATAGGTCAGGTCACTAGGAATGAGAATTGTGTTTATTATGAGCCTGTTGGCACAAAATCAGAAATGCCAAGATACAAAATGGGGTGCAGAAGGAGGACCTTAGGAAATGTTTGTCTGCTGCTCAACAGACAGGAAGAACAGTCAGGAGGTGATGCTGAGAAGGCTGGCAGTGGTTAATGTTTGGCGGGGAGGGAGGGAGTTGTACTTCTTGTTGGCGTGTGTGTTGTGCAGGAGTTGATCAGTTTTCACTACAAATAGCATTGCAGACAGGTGATAGTTATAAATAACAACAATTAATACTGGTAGAAGAAAGATTCAGCTTCAAATTGTAGAGAAATAGGTAAAATAACTGAGTGCTAGTTAGGTAAGGTAGAGAACTTTGAAGATCAGCTGATTCAGATTAATTTAAATTGTTTTCCATTTAAAGATTTTCCTGCTGTTCTCATTTATATTTGAGACCTTGTAAAGAGCAAGTGAGATAGTGGAAGAAGAGCTATGAGGAAAAGGGAAAGGAACACAAATAGCAAAGGCACATTAATCTGCTTTATTTCTGTTTCTGGAAAAATACTGGAAGAAATTGTTTATAACCACTTAAAAGAAAAATGAGGAGACGAGTAACAGCTAGTGTATGCTGTTAAGAACAAGTCATGCTGGACAAGTTTGATTTCCTTACAAAATGAAGTAGTGGCCTTCTGAGCAGAAGAGTAGTCTGTATTGTATATTTGGATTTTAATAAGGCTATTTCACATGGCCCAAGGTGATCAAGGTACGTCTAGATGAAAGTGAGTATATAGTAGGTGCAGTCTCATTCAAAAATCTTGGCCTCTGTAGAGTAACTGAAAGGTTTACCATCAAGTAGAAGGATGAATAGAGCAGACTTAAGGGAATTTGTGCTGGATCTGGTATTATTTAGTAATGTCCTGGGTATTGGAATAAGGAGGTGTGATTCAAATGCAAAATATTCTTGACAATAGACAATAATAATCTGGAAAAAATATTATTCTGCTTAATATGGACAACATAGTATGCTTGTACAAGAATAGTTAAATGTACAAATAAAGGCTAGGAAACATGTAGCTAGATGACAGGTTTGAAGGATAAGCTGTCATGCTGACTTCACAAAGGAACACACGTCAGCGATATCACTATGCCACTAAAAAACAAATACCATCTCCAGATTATAAATGAGAATATGTCTTTAAAAATACCTGAAGTAATCTTATAATGCAAATCAACAGTGAGGTAAGACCTTATAAGAAACGTGTACCAGTCAGAAAAATTCCAAATGATGGAAAAGTAAATTATTATGGCTCTACAAAATTTTACCTACAAGGGAAAAAGTGGAATTGTTATCTGTAAGTTAAAGAAGAGAAGGCTGGATGATGTAGAGGAGAAATGATAGAAGTTTGTAAAAGGCTAGGACAGAAAGTGAAGAGTTTAAACTGCAATAGAGAAAATACAATGTAGCAGCAAGAAACTTACCACAAGTGAGGACAGTGAAGTACTGAAGTAGACTGAGTTAGGAGTATTATTTAGTCTTTGAGGCTTTTAAGGTTACGTTAAGACAAACATCTATCAGCAGTGATGTAGGTATAGTTAATTGTGCCTTGGAGCAGGCATTAACTGAACTATTTCATAGACCAATCTCTTAGCCTGACAAAATGGAATTAATTTTTCTTCTTTTTCTGCTGGAAACGTGACCTGACACATCCTAGTGCTTCTAGGATTTCTGTTTTCACAGTGATAGTTCAAAATTGCCGTGCAATGTGTTAGTATATACTAGGTGCTTTTGTTGTATGATGAGAACAGATTTTTTTGTTGGTGTCTTTCCAAAATCATATAGTGTACTGCTGGGTACTGTCTCATTTCTATTACTGAAGACTTCAAGATAACTCAGTTCCTCTGTGGGGATGTGCCAAATCTCTTTTGTACTGACAGTTTCTCACAGGTCCTGCACCTGCTTTTGAGGCTGATTCTGAGAGGGTTTACATGATGAAAATGTACTTGAGGAAAGAAAAGCCATAGGATTGCAAGCAAAAGAGTAAAGGGAGGCAGTAGTCAAGGGCAGAACATCTAGTGATCGATCCTGGCAAGCCATAATGTTTCTGTGAAAGGGGAAGCCCAAGTGTCATACACATTTTGTGTGTTTTTAATTGTTAAACTATGTGGCAGAGTTAGAAAAATATTGTTATTTTTTTATTGTAAAATGGGAATGTCTAGCTACAATGTTATTAGCACAGTGCCGTTCACCTTTCATTCAAAAATGCAAAGAGATTATCAATTGACTGAGCAGCCCTAGATGTTGTTACACTGCCGAGACTGCTTTCAAAGCTGGGTTTGTTAGCGGAGCATAGCCACGGGTGAGGTGTTGTTCTGAATTAGAGGATATCTTTTATGAGCAGATGAAAAACAAAGGGAAAGGATGGTCCTGTGACTGAGATGAGCTGTTAGGAGCATAGAACAGTTTAAGATCAAGAGACCATCTAGGCCAGTGGTCTCCAGAAGTGCTCCTAAACTAATGCTCAAGGAAGAGTAAAAGGAAGGAATGGAAGGAAAAAGAAAAGAAACTTCTCAACACATGTATCAGC